CTGGGCTATCCCTCACCATGACATGACGCTTTGCATGTGATCGCTGTGGGGTGGGGCCGGCAGGACGAACGATGATGCTGGTAAATGCTGATTTCGCAGCTCAATTACCACCAGCATTTGCACTCTCACTAATTACTGTACCATCGAGTTGTCACTGCGTGAAAATCAGTCGTGTTGGGTCTGGTCACGTTGTGGGCTTGGGTTTGCGGCCAGCCAACACAGGCGGACACAAACTTCCCTCCCCCCGTGATGCGACTCACTACCCACGATCGTTATCTTGGTGGGAGATTGGGGGGGTGGGTGGGAAACCAGTGTAGGTATATGCTGACTTTTGCAGTGCAATTACAACCCGCATGTGCACTGGCATTAACCGCTGTTTCACTGCCCCCCATAGAATTGTCGCCCCTTACGCGAGTTCAACCTACATTTACCTGCATCAACCGGGCACACAAGGCTCTCCGGTAATGTGGTTTCTTTCGATTTGGGACCTGTGCTCAAATGTTCGTTATAGTCCGTCGTCTCCGAGTGCTGTGGTTTTGCTAGAATCTTCGTTAACCATCAAAAATCTCCAACAGTCGAATGGTCCGATAAAAGGTTAAGATATAAGGCACTATTGTAACCGACCAAAGACATGTTTGCAATACGAAAAGCCTCCGACTGTTCACAGCGATCCAACGGATCCAGACGCAATTATTTTTCGAGGGGATTAAAAAGCAACAATTTATAATTCGGTAGCAGACGTGATGAGTCAAACCCCTCGCAGCTGTAGCCGAAAATCGACGAGAACCGCATGTATGGGCTTTTGGCTAGTACCTGTGCCGTATGGTTTCCCCTAACCTAAAATAAAAAAATGCCGTTGGGGTAACGAAAGTGTTTGGTGCGACATGCTAGTAGTCATTCCGAAGGTCAGGTCTTCGTTGTGGTGTTCTACGCCCGGCCATCTGTGCATCCGGCGTCGTGTACAAGGTACTGTCGCCTACACCTGCATACGTCGCATACTGAGTGGCTCTCTGCCTAGTCGATAACCAATATTCATGCATTCCGCATCTCGTGGTAAGCGCGCATCGGCATGGCGGGGATTCGAGTCTGTAGGGGGCTGGGAGCGTGCATGCACGCCCTGTCTTTCACCGCGAATACCACGGCCACGGACCCAGAGTCTTTGAAATGAGCCATCTGTGTTGACATACTCAACTCCTTCCTGCCATCCGAATTTAAGCAGGCCTTTCAGTACTTTATCCCGATCCGCTGTGTGGAAGGTCTCAGTTAGGATCCACAAGGGTGGTTCCTAATCTGTCCCGTATTTTTGCACAATTTTCGTGCAGTTTGTGCGTCGCGACGATCAGGCCTGAGGTATCTCGGTGTTCCCGCAACCCGTATCCGGTTTCTCTAGGCGATTCCCGCTGCAGATACGTGCACAGACAGTCGAATGGTACGCGGGCAAACCTCTGAACAGCCGTGCTGAGAAGAGATATGCCTCCACATATTCATTGAATCATCAGCTCAGTCTGGTAAAAATTGCCAACCTGGATGATGACGAACAAACTATGTACGCTATTGCCCCATAGCGGGTACCCGTATGACGTCCAGTATTTCAGCGACATGAAAGACTATTCGAAGTTTGCTTATTGGGTAGTTAGGGGCGGACGCCGTGAACCACCAGGCTCGTACCCATCCCCCAGTCATCTTGCCATCAGAATCAGGTGCGTGGGTGGACGCCTTGCCCGTCTGCTCCACTACAAACATACACACGCCCAAGTCACCACTGTGACATGGGGCGTATCGCTTAGGACGAACGAACTTACGCACATCAGAACCTCTAAAAGCAGTTTGTCTAGCGATAGGAGCATGGAACAGGAGAGACGAGATGCAGCATCTACATTATGTCCTTTTTATTCTATTATCTGATCCTCATATCGCCGCTCCTGTTCACTGGCATATGCCGAACTTTTGGGGTCGCATATTATCATTTACATTCGTCCGCATCTCCAAAATATGACAAATGATGTTCTTCGAGTTTAGTTTGCAATTCGCGATGCCCATTTGTGAAATCAGGATCGTCTGATGCTCTCGGGGAAATGGCGCGGGACTGAAGTTCGACCACTTTGCACGCAGGCATGTTGCTGATTCGCTGTCCATTCTTCTGCTCACACAGCAACACGTAAGTGAGAAAAGAAGTGACTTGTCAGATTACTCAGGCCCTGGCATATGCGAGTTTCCGGCCTGTGTACCGTCTCCAGTAAGAGCACCTCGACTCTCAGCTCAGCCATGCGGGACTTAGTAGTCAAAATCCCACACAAACATGGGAGTTCGTTCAATGGGATCAGGTGACGAACCGTGATTGGCCGGAACTAGTATAGATATGCGGCATCTGCGTCAATTCGCCATGACCTCTTCGAGATGACGGCAAGGCTATCCTTCCTGCCCATTACGGCTATTGTCTTTGGTGCCTGGATGGAAGTCAATGTAGATGCCATTCATCGCTCTACGCAGTCTCCCTAACCGCTGACTCCCGCCAACACTGGCAATCAGGGATATGGTCAGCAGAGGCAGTACTACAAACCACCAAGCCGTCCACAGTACGGCAAAAAAGAATACAAGCCCCAGTACGATAAATCTAAGGATGATGAAGAGTAGGAGCGCAGAAGTCGTCTGTAGTGTCCCAGTTATGCTATACTGATACTACTTGTACATCAGACTTGTCTTGCAATCTCGTAAAATTTTAAAGATTGTTTAAGTGAAACTGCTTCTAATTAGTACCTGGAAACGGTGACTGGAAGAAGGAGATTGAAGTAGATGCCTCATGTCGTGGTACGGTTCGGTCAGTTAAGAGAACCTACGCAATTTTGATGAGGGAGGTTTGGGCGGTATCGGGTTGGGAATATGCAGAGAGGGATTCGGCAGCATTGCTCGAATTTTTCGAAACTACAAATCGCACTTCAAACACGCCGTGCCCCGGGGACATTTGCAAGACAACTAAAATTCGGTCGCTCATCGGAGATGCCAGATTTGCGTAGATGCCTGTTCGCGGAAACCACATATTCGTTTTCCAAATGTTTGGAAGACGAGGAAGATGCAAATAGAAGATAAATCTAAAATCTCTATAATCTGCTCCGAGTGGTTGGAATATGTAAATTCACGAACACTGTGACACTTTAGTTTCGGATGGAGACCACATCAGAATTTACCTAAACTAATGGATACGCAAAATGTGTTTACTTAACCTCCTACATCTCATCAGATCTCGGAACTCAGTGCATTTTCTTGCCAACTGTCAAATCATAATAACGACTCAACTCCCTGAGCATGACAGTGTAGAAGCTATGAAATTCAGAAGTTTTATCCCTTATGGGCAGATAGAAAAGCTTCGAGAGCGGAAGGAATGCTCTAGAAGACGAAACGTTTCAGTAAAATCGAATGAGTCGGTTAACAGCTCAAAACCCCTGTTTGGAGTCCACAGGACAGACTGGAAGAGGGTGGGCTGACAGGCATCGACGTAGGATTGAACCTTAATCATCCATGATGAGATGCTCTCAGTACGTTTTCAACCGTTTAGTAGTGTAGAATTGTAACATTGGTCGGAATCACCAGAGTCTTGAAAGCACCTGAAAGGGTGTTTAATGATGAAAATTTGTGAATGGTGTATGATTATTCTACTTGAGGAGATTCACACAGGTGGGATTTCGTTCGGGAGCTCTAAACGGGTCCACGTTTGAAAGCAGGGTTTAACATCACGTTCCTGAAAGAATGGAATGGGCCCTTTCCATCGACCCTCAAAGTGCTGACTGTCCTTCAGCATGTGCCTGGACTATTCAAATGTCGAAAAAGCTAAATGGCTGTAGTCATGTCCCAGAGGCTAGAACAGTTACCTTCACCAATCACCCAGGTTCAGATGCAGGCCACACTACAATTTTCGGCGAGGTTTGGTTCTGCAGCCCCACCTGAATGATACCATACGGTTAGCGTACGAAAACGATATTCGTTAACATACCTATCTTAGCCGCTCACTGGATTAGGAAGGGACAGAGAGCGCAATCAGAACTCGAAGCACAGGTACAGAAGGGAGTGATGGTGGCGTGTACACACGCCCCACGCCGACGCAGCCGGCTTAGAGGATAAGGAGGACGCAATCACATCTGGAAGGCCATAGAGGGAACCGCATGGTAATCCGCAGTGCATGGCCACTGCAATGAAGCCGACGGAGTTCCACACCGTCCGAGCAATTTCATTAGCAAGTCTACCTAACCACTTACTGAATTAGGATAATAAAGAGTGCGCAAGCGGGACTCGAAGCACGCGCAGGGAAGCGCCTGTGAGCTGACAAGTGAAGCAACCAAAACTGGCTTATGAGCACTCATTCCCACGTGGCGCAGGCACTCGTTGGCTTGAGACCGTAGGGATGATGCAGATACGGGATATTTGTAAAGTCAACGTACTCGCATCTACTAAAAAAGTTTTAGAAAACGAATCACATGGTATCACTCAGGTGGGGTTTCAGAACCAAATCTCGTCCAATTTTCTGTAAGCAGGGATTGCATCACTCTAGACCTCCTAAATCAGTGCCGTTTCTCACTGCACGACTTCCATCTTCCTCAAAACCGAGCACCTACAAGGCCTTGTGTTTAAAGTAACAGAACTAAGAAGGATTCAATTCGCATGGTAGTTGGGAAGGGCAGGAGTATCAGTCGATCGCAGAATACTAGGAGTAATTTCACCGTAGGTTGTCGAGTGCGGTTGAACATAAATTTGCGTGCAACTAAATCCAACCGAATTGTCAGCCCATTTGGAGGCATCTTCACTGATCTCGGGTCGGGTGCCGGTTGACGGCTCAAGCAATTACCACCACCGCATTTGCGAAGGTGGTGGTCACGCGTGGGAAGCGGCCTTGAGGATCCACTACGTCGTCCGACCACGTCAGCCAATCACAGCGTTGGGGTTCACAGGTCGCCGGCGCCTCTATAAATAGACAGCGTCAGCTTCTAGGCAGCACTACCTGAATCGAGATGAAACTGCAACTGTGTCTCCTTCTCCTCACGGCCGTCGTTTTGGGTGCCTGGATGGAGGTCAGTTCAGCGGCCGTTCTGCCGGCTACCGATACGCCGACACCGTTGGGCGCCGCCAATGGAGGATATGGCTACCAGAAGCCCTACTATAGACCGCAGTATCGTCCATACCAGTACAGGCCGCAGTACGGCTATGGTGGGCAATAGAAATACAGAAGATGTCTTCGGTGCTGGCTTTCCATGATCTCTTGACCCTGTACAGAAAGCTTTTGCAACAATGTCAACTGTTTTTACATATATAGTCTTGCACTTGAATTTTCCCATACTCTCGAATTTAGACAAACGCTCCGTGCTGTAAAGACTTTAATTCATTTTGACTCAGCAATACTAAGGGGGAAGCCCGGATACCGATAGGTTGGGGTGGAGATGGGGAGGGGGGAGGTGGGGTGGTCTGTAAATGGTGCGTAATCGTTGATAAGATGTTCTCGATTTAAACGAATAGGGAGAAATGATATTTCTAAAAAAATTGTCCCATTTAGGCAAGGGTAAACATTAGGATTATATAGTCCAGAGCAAAGCAGTAGGCAACGCGGAAAGTAATCATACTGCCCTGTGTTTGTGCCCGTGCGCATACTTTAAATACCTCCTGAGACAACATGTTCAGTGAGCAGGACATGTAGAACAAAAGTGAACTGGTAATTAGCACCACCAGACGAGCCAACCTGGCGGGGACCTAACGAACGCGACGAGTTAAGTGCACTCCAAGGTACCTCATTTAACGCCTTCCTCATCTGTCGTAGGTTTTACCTCCGGTGGTAGTCGCATGGCGACAGTCACAACCTGCCCACTGTATGGGAGTTTCTTCTAGAGTCAATCTGAGCATGTAGTGCTGACATACCAAGACCTCTGCAGTGAGTAACCGGTCTCGTGAAATGTTGGCTGAAATTCTGAAATGCGTTTTCGATCAGGAAGGATTACTCAGGCGCGGTCGTAATGCTTATTACCTTACGGCATAATCCTATAATATTTCAGACCCGGCAGGATGTCAGCTTTTCAAACTCCTGTAGAAACAGTACTCGGTAAAAAATGTCTACTTAAGAAACATGCATTATTTCACATTGATTTTCGATGGTCTTGAAAATTCGAATATGTTTTGTAACAAACCACGAACAGGAATAGGCTTTCTTTCAGCCGGTTAAGAGAGAATTATGTAATCTGTATATTTCGTACTCGAAAGAGTGTAATTAAGTATAAAAAAGCGTTCTAATTCCCGAATAAATTGGGGCATGATAAGTCGTTACATTAGCGCTTAGTGATTTCAGTCTACAAGGTGCATGCGTTCCGCGTAAAGAAAATCACATTTTTTTATTCTTTTAAAAAGATACCATATTGAGTTCACAACATGGTTCGCAATGGATGCGAACCATGTTGTACATTTCATGAGCAGCAGTGGAAAACGGACAGGTACGATGCTGTATGAATGGAAATTCCACGGTCTTAAAAAATCTCATAATCAGAAACTTTTTTAAAACCTAATTATACACCTTCTCCGAGTATATAAAGATTACACAATTCTCTATCAAACGAATGTAAGAAAACATATTTCTATTCTTGGTTTTTATAAAATATATTCGAATTAGCAAGACCATCGAAAATCAATGTAAAAAATGCATGTTTCTTAAGTAGACATTTTTTAACGAGTACTGTTTCTACTAGAGTTTGAAAAGCTGGAATCCTGCCGAGTCTGAAATATTATAGGATTATGCCGCAACATAATCAGTATTACGACCGCGCCTAAGTAATCCTTCCTGATCGAAAACGCACTTCAGAGTTTCAGCCACCATTTCATGAGATCGGTCACTCACTGTGTGTAATTATTTACCATATTGACAAGGCAAGCACTGGATGAAAGCCCTGACAGGTGTGTTTCGCCGAGTTTGAGCTTCTGCCAGGGGCTTGGCTCATCAGTGGGTCCCCTGGCCGTCTCCATTCAGTTTTAATCTTGCCTTGTATCCGAGGTGATTAATGCGCGAGTTTGGAGGTCTAGAAGAGGAGTGCCTGGAAATAGCCGCTTTCCGCTGAGACCCTGTCTGCTATACTATCGAAGAGAGTAATGAAAGTACTAATGCTCATCTGAACGATTAGTTCGGCTGACCGTTCAGCTGCAGCGAACCACGACGCCAACTGTTTTCCCCGCAGAGTGGGGCAGTTGTGAATTAATTATTAGTGATGCCGGCTTGCGCAGTATCTTCGACACTACCTCCACCCTCACCCGACAGGGGCAACGATTGGGTGAAGGACCCGAAACACATACGACCAGCCAAAGGTGCCTGTCTTATGGGAAAGGTGGTAATTAATGGTTTTCGAGCGGGGCCCATGTATGCATTGAGAAATGGCAGAATAGATATGGACGATATGTAAATTCGTTTTTCGGTCGGAAACCTTTCAATGCATTAACATATAGCAACCGAAATTAAGCAGGACAATTAAAAAATAAACATCAAGTGTCTGTAACGATCGCTTATCAACTCTCTGAGCTAAGCTCATTGTAGATAATCTTCCAGACTGTCTACAATGATCGCTTCTCAACTGTCTGAACTGAGTTCATTGTAGATAATGCACCAGACCGTGTACAACAGACGTCTCACCCTCGTACGACGAAACACCAAACCGAAATAACCGTGACGGACTAAAACCCACTTAAATAAGTATCGTAGGTATTCTTTCTATGCCACAGATGCTTGGGGTCCTTCACCTGATTCTTACCCTCCCTCTTCACATTTAAAATGCTCGGAAATTGTTCATGTGCTTTCCTCTGGCAGGACCAATCTCAGACTAAATGCCGCCTTCTCAGTGTGCGTTAATTGCACCTTCACGCATGTCGACCCGATGAAAACCTGGCACATGGGTTGAAGACAAGGTTGCTTGTCATGCATCGGAACCTGGGCGGGGTAAGAGTAAGAGCGCGAATTGAGCGTACCTGAACGATAGCTGGTCATTAGGAACTTCCGATTTAGTGAGTCACTGGCTTAAAGCCCACACTCCTTCGGAGATTGGTCCTCATTCATTTCTCTTTATTAAAAAACAAGACAGTCCTCGCCCAAATTCTGGAAAGCGAGCAAACTTTAGTCATCAGGGGTGCGGCTGTATCGTGGACCACCTTTTGGGCAGGTTTCAGACCTCGGAATTTGGCTGGTAGGTTTCATCTCAGCCCCGGCTTACTTCTGCTTGCTCTGGGGG